TGAAACAACAGAGAGCTGAGAGTGACTCTCACAATCGACTTTAAGAGGTTGATCGAAAGCTTTTAAGACATCTTGAAATCTCTCTCCTAAATCATCAATATGAGGAACATGAGAGCTTGCACTTTCATTAGTGTGAGGGACATAAAAGCTGAGACAATATCCGTGACAATGTCATATCGAAAAAACAGTGTCCATCGTGATTTTTTGGGTTACCGGCGGCAACATGTCACAAAATGTGTCACGGATCGGATTTTGTCCGAGACAAAATTCATCGTGGAATTCATCTTTGACAAACATTTTCCACTTACAGGTAAAAAGTTCCGTGAAAAATCCATGGCAAAGTTGTTAGGGATGAAATCCGGGACAAAAATCCATGACAAAAAGGTTGTGTTTTGCAGTGTAGGGAGTATACATTTTAACTTTTATTATTTGCTCATGTTAAAACATACTACATTCATCTCATATAAAGGTTCCCTTCCACTATCCCTCCGGTCAACGTAAATTATTCTTATTTTTTTTACTTTTTTTCCAATCTCGGAAGGCAAACCACCTAAATCAGTGGGGCAAACTCCGGAGAACGTTTGCCGGGTTTTATTAGGAAATAAAAGAGATACAAAAAGAGAGGTGGACTAGACCTAAACCTCGATCTCCTCTTAATTTTTTATTTTATATATCCAATTTTTATCAAATTTGAGTTTTTCGTGACTTTATAAAACTTTTAATATCGTTTCTGAATATGTAGTTTTTATTTACTAAAAGTAATGTTATTATTGACACCGAACAATTAACTTTACGAGCAGTCAAACATCGTAAACTGCGTGGAAACCTATAAGTGGGACATATGGAGTAGTTATATACGGAGTACTATGTATGTAGTACGAAGGCGGAATTACCAAATTCGTAAAAGAGGGTGATCTAAAAAATTGGTAAAAGAAACTTTGGACACAAATTGGTAAAAAAACAAACTCCGGTGATAAATTGGTCAATTTTTTGTGAGGAAGACAATTTTAATCCTCGACTTTAGAATTCCCGACATTTAGTCCTAAGTATCGTGAAAACTCATTAAAATTTTGTTAGTACTTAAAAAATCACTGAGTTTTATTTACTATTTTATCAGTATGAATATTTTTGCTATTTAATTTGGAGTAGCATTCTTAGAAAATCACTAACTTACAAAATAATCATACTTAAAATGTTAATACTAAAAATAAATGAATTTATATGTGTGTGCTCGTGTAAATGTACATGTATTAAAAATGATAGTTGTATTAATGACCATATTCATGCCTAAAAACGTCCTAACGGCGAACATTATGTTCATTAACTTACATGATCAATTTCCATAAATGTAGAGTCAACCCGTTAAATATTTGGTCCAACAATTGTCCCTTTTGAGAAGTTGATGCGTATGATGCACACTTCGAGCCGTTAAGCAGCAACTTGTCGAAATTTTGAAAGAACTTATACTTCTCATTTTTGACGATCTCGCCTATCAACCCGTCATCTGTCTGATGGAATGCTTTCGTCGCTTTGTGTCTGATTGAACCCATCAATGTGACTAAGAGAATATTGTTGTGTCAGTCGTTGTAAAGTGCAAATTAGTCCATGTTGAAATTGACGCTTTGATTGGCAACTTCGACCTTTATTCAGCGGGTGACTGGTCTAATTCCGTAAGTGAGTCCCGGGTCCGGGAATAACATTAAATACTTGACGTGCACTTTGTCGTGGTGTGCAATCAAAATAATATTCAATACAACAATTACACGTAGTATAATGAAGTAAGGTTCGTATCCACAGGGAAAGGAATACTTCTCTTTTTATGTAACTAGTAACAAGGGGGGTTTAAAGTTTGATTTGATTTAATTAATTCTACACTAAGATGAATGACTTAAATGAGTTTAATTAATAGAGATGAAGACTTGGTTTTACTTTTATCCACTTAATGAAATGTTCGTCGATCCCGGCTATATCTTTAACTATCTTCCTCTCGAATACTCAATCGAGGAGTATATCCAGTTCATCGAGGGTAGTTATTAATAACGAGATGCGTTCATTAATAAAACTTACTACCGAGTTAATATAAAACACGCGCCATATATTAACCCGATAGTTGCAATAAAATCAAGATGAAAACGATTGAGATTGACAACCTCAACACAAGCGGTTTATTGGTTTAATCAACATAATTAATTCCCCTTGGTTTATTAACCATGAAACGCATGCATTAATAACCGAGGTTTACTACCATGAAACGATCGAGTGATTAACAAGCGTATTCGTTGATCTATTCTAGTAATAATTAATATATGAAACAAACTAGTTGATCCTTTAAGTAATATTCAAAATATTAATGTGAAATATGAATAGGAATTAATTAATACTCAAGGAAGAATATTAAAGAAGATGAATCCTACTATAGTTAATATCAAGATGTTAACTAATTGTCATCTTAGTAACACTCCCCAATATTAACGTAGAGGAAGAAATAACTATTATTATAACTAATGTCAAGATGTTAACTAATTGTCATCTTAGTAACACTCCCCAACATTGATATAGAAATAGTATTTAAAGGAAGAATTAATATTCAAGGAAGAAGATTAAAGAGGATAACTCACAACTTACAAATTCATTAAGCTTCAAAGTAGCAAAACCAAGATGGAAGAGTTTAGCTCCTCATTTGGAGACTAAACATGATAAAAATATAAAGAAAGTACTTAAGTAAACTGAGCTTAGAAGTGTATAGGAATTGGTGATCAAATGGGAAGGAAAGGGGGTGTATTTATAGGTGTTTGGAGCTGCCAGGGCCATTTACTCGACCGGGTTTTTGAGAAACCCGATCGGGTTTCCTGAGAAATTGCCCGGAATCTTCATTTGTCACATCTTACCTGATCGGGTTTTTGATTTACCCGATCGGGTAAAAGACAAATCTTTGCCAAATCTTCACCATGCACGTTAAATTGCCTCCAAATCAGATTTGATCTTCGGATCAAGTCAATACCCGATCGGGTATATGCTTTATCCGATCGGGTAAATGACTTTTTCCCCAAATTTTCACTTGATCTTGTTCCCTTGCACTTTCCTTCACCTTTCAAAGGATCCTTTTGATGATCTTTACCTAGTTAAAGCTCAGAATAATCCTAATCTATACAAATTACAAACAAATAAGAAAAATAAAGTATTACACCAAAAGTGTGTAATTTCCCAAACAACAACAAATAAAACTAGTTAAAATAACATACATAAACAAACATTATTCTATGCTATCAATACTATTCTGTTTGTATTGTCAACCTAAACATTAATGTTTAAGGTTGTCATTCGTGTCGATGTCATTAGTGTTGTCTCCTTGTGTTTTGGATTTTTTCGTTGTTTGTTTTATACCTTTGAAACATTGATTTCTGTAGCGTTTCTATTGTATAGTTTTTGCAAAAACATTTGTAGGGAATTTGTGGTGTTTGCACTCATCATTATAAGATACGAAACCCACTTCTTTCCTTGTAAGCCCAGGCCAGTCATTTATGTTTTGACGTTTTCGTAAGGCCTACGTGAGCCCCGTCATTTATGTTTTGACGTTTCTGTAAGACTTTTAATTATGTAAGTCATGTCATTTATGTTTTGACGTTTCTGTAAGGCTTTGTTTGACGTGTGCCAGGAAATCATCGTCGTTGTTGACTATTTCTATATAAAAAGTTGTCACGGCTCTCCAATTGCTAGAAGCCAACGGTCCTTAGATGTTAGATGCTAAGTTAGTGATTGTTTATATGTAAAGGAAATAAAGTAGGAAATTCAAAGTGAAACAAAATTAAATGTACCGTTTTCCAGCTTGTCATAACCATTGTATGTCATTTTAAACTTTATAACAATATGCTTATGTATGACGATTGGATTTATCTCATCCGGTCCACCCCGTCATGGTTTGACGAATCGCTCGTCAGGTCTTGAATAGAGCAGTCATGTCTCTTGGAAGAGTATCATACCACGTGCTCCCCGTCCTGAAGACTTTGATGAACTTTGTTTGCTCCACGTAATATAGGATTTGTATATTAGGAAACAACAAATCAATCGGGTATCATGCAAGAATCAAAGAAATGGCTAAAGATCAAATGAATAGGTAAGTGTTGAGTTTAATCTCACACGATATAGTAAATATATATAGATATAAATTTGTAGGAACACTCGGTTTTTACGCGGAAACCTGAAAGGGAGAAAATCACGGCACTTTTTAGGCTAATGTCCAAGCCCTCTCATTCTCATTAATACTCTCCTCATCATTACAAAGTACAAAACATTGAAGCTCCCATTAATGGAGGTTGCTAGCTAATCTATTCTAGAGAGGAGGAGGAGGAAGTGGGGAAGAAGAGAAACCCATAACATGGAGGGAAAGTCTTATATTTATAGGGAAAATGGGGTAGGGGATAAGTCTACTCTAATGGACCAAGGGGGCCGAAAGGGGCCCTAAGGCCGAAATAGGCCCGATAGGTCCAAATGGCCCTTGCCATTTGGGCTCTGTACTGAGGTCATATCTCGGGCCTTTGAACAATAGTAGGCCGGTATAATATATCACAACAATATATAAACTGGAGTTTACAGTATGGAGTAATATTTATGTCGATTAATTAGCGTATTACTGATTATTGTCTCAACATAATTATTTAGTCATGATAAGAAAAAACATAATTATTTAGTCGTGGCCGGTAAATGTATTATATACTCCTTTTCATTTGATATATGATCGATGAATGAGCGCGACTGCTATGAATATACGCTCGTATACAATAAAAGTGCATGTTTTAATTTGATGCCGTGAATAAGTACAGTATTTGAATTTAAAAGTGTAGCGTATTAAAGTAAAATTTTCGCATATATGTTACATGTTAATTAAACACTCTTTTTTTTTGGAGCGGTACCATATATATATATGGTGTTTGTGTAATTGCATCTGGTTAGCTCGAGGTGGATCGGAATATAATACACATAATAACGCACGAAATATCATGGCAAAATTTATTCAATTGTATCATACTTTGTATACAGTATATATGATCGAGGGAGGACACATACAGAAAAACATTGATGGCGTGCACTTAGCTTTATTCAATCTATCCTGCCAGATGAGATGATACGTACAATGTAATTATATTGGACAACCGACCAATAAAAGTACATACGTATATGTATATATATAGGCTGGTACACATGCATACAATATACTCCGTACTATCTATATACGATAGTATATAGGAAGGACAAACTCAAACCATCTTGCATATATATATATATATACATATATAGGATGATAGAAAACATACATGCATATCTTGCATGCATGCAATAATATACGGAGTACTCCGCCTATACGGCCGGAGGAGTACGTATAGTACTATATATATTTATATTATCTCCATACTTGGTCAGCTGGCCTGGCCTTTTTAGTTAATCATTTTAATAATTGTGCTTTTGTAAAACATAAACTTGTTTAAGAACAACCTTGTTTTATTTTATCCAACTCAATATGTGTAGAGTAGGCAGGGTCGTGTTTAGAGAAAAATAGCACCGACTTGAAGAAGTGTTGGTTTGAGAGTTCCCGTTATGCTCATGGAAAGAAGTTCTTCTGTAGAGCCAAGATGGTTGCCACCCATGTACACTGCGGGGAGCTGGCCCAGACTCTGGAGATGCTCCTTCATTGCGTCTCCCTCCTCCTGTTCGTCGAGGTTGTATATCTGAAGTGATGCCCCATAATTGCCTTGAACTAGGGAAATGATGCTTTCACACTGGCAGCACTCCTCGTCCTTTCGGAATAACACCACTGGATGCTCATTCGCCAAATCATTCACCATCTCTGCCATCTCTAGCTTTAATCGATCGAGACAGAGATCAGACAGAGCTCGATCGATCAGCTTGATTAATTAATGAATTGGAATTAAGTCCATGCAATTTAACAATATACTCTGATCGATCTCTCTATGTATTTATAGCTACAATAGAGTATTCATGAAGCCTCATGTATGGTCATGATCAATTGATCATGAAATGATGAAAGGGGTGACTTTACGGAGATTCTGAGGGAATCAAATATATATATATGCAAATCTGGCGCCCATATTACTACTCCCTATTACCATTTTCAATTCCAAATGTATGAAACGCCAAAATATATACGTACTCTTCCTCCCTTTAGATTTTGTTGTCTCATTAACTTGTAAAGAATTTGAGGTTCCAATTAATTCTCTTTACTTTCCACAAATTTCAATCACATGATTCTTATTTTATTAATTTTTGTGTCGGTTCAACACTTCAACTTGGCCAAGTTTCAAAGAACGGAGGTGATATATAAGAGCAATATTTTTCTATAATTTATTTAACTGATTTTCCAATAGAATTTTAAGTTGAAATTTTAAGGACATAATATACACTTTGTGAATAACACATTAAAAAGATTTCATCAAAAAACTTAGAGATATTTACCCCACTTATGACTAAAAGATGATGTGTTTCTCGATATATGACTTCATCACTTTTTTTCCTATTGTAATACTCGTATATGGCACAAGGCCATTCCCGAATTTTAATTTTTTCTTTAATTCCACATCTGCCCTCAACCGTATCAAGTAATGAGTAATTGAATCTTCCTAAAAATACGGAGTTGCTTTGCACAACTAATAGGTAAACGGCGATGTATCGGTAACATTCCTAAGAATAAGGAATATACTCATATATGGTAAATCATGATCTGCACGACCCACGTATATGTAAAAGCTAGTTTATTATTGGAATTTTTTAATAATATTGGTAAAAAAATATCTCATACATGGTTCTGGGAATCTGGGTTTTGGTTGGCCAGTTGGGTATGACGGCCCGGTTGATCAACAATAATTGTTCTGAATCATTGAAGATATATTGTGCATTGATATTTTTTTTGGAAGATATTGTGCATTGATATTGTGCATTATTATTGTGCATTGAATTTTTTATTGGAATAATGCACTATCTAAATATTAGAAACTTTTAATTGGAAACCATCAAATGAGCTACGTACTATTGCATTCTTTAAAAATAACTATACAAAATAATAATGCATGATATGAAAATTTAGTATCAATTTATCAAATTTACTGCACGTTTTTAAGGCATTACTAAAACATAAATTATCACTGCACAACTACACCTTCATAATTTTTTCAATAGACAATTACAACATATTCGTATGCTCTTTTCAAAGTTTTAAAGGGTCGCACCTTCTCATTTATATTTCTTGAGGAAGTCTCGATCACAATATATAGTGAGTTACATTTAGCATTTTTTTTAATTCATTCCATTATTCGATAATCGAAGTTCCGGAGAATCAAGCTCGGCCGCAATACTTTCCGTCTTTTATAGCTATTTGCAGGTTGTTTCCGTTACTTTCCTTTGCAAAAGCCTAATTTCTCAACTACACACAGGATACACGCGTTTACTTTATGAGGTCAATTCTGTCCTTTCGTGTTGTTAATTACGTGGGGTGGGAATTGTTTTTGGATTTTTAGTCATGCGGAAGACTAATAACAAGTCAAGTCATATAATAGGAATTTTAACAACTTTTACTCATATATAGGTAAATAACCCAAAAACTTACTCTATCGGGACCGCTTCAAAACCCCGCGGTTCTCCGAATTCCGGAGGTGAACTTAACTTTTCTCTATATACTGTATATGTATAGCCTCGCTTTTTATAAACTAGCTTAGCTTAGGAAGGGATTCAATATATTATGCATGCCACCTCATATTTCTTTTTAAATATGAGGTATTCATCATTATGTGCCATCCTATTTACCTTTAATAATACCTTGCATAATTATAATCGCCGGCCTGTTTCGTTTTCTTGGCACTTAATTTTACTAATTAATTACTTTTTTTGCAAGAACTAATTAATATAATTACTTAATCACTCTGTTTTTTGGTACTCGGAATTAAATTTTCTTGCATAGATATATGCTAGTCAATGGACATGTGTGTTACACATATGAGGAATGAATCTAATAGTCAATTTGGGAGAAATTTGTTGATTTAGTCCCGTAACTTATAGCTATATCCGATATTGGTCTTGTAACTTTATTAACTTGCAGATTACATCCCGTAACTAATAAGTTGGTGCAATTTTGGTCCTTCTCTGCCGGAACTTACCAATTTCACCGGAAAAGACACATCACCTGCCACATGGTATATTATTTGGAACTCATTTGCTGACTCAATGTTGGTCCTTAGCTAGAGTTAAAAAATTATTTCTTCTTGGTTGCAGCAGGAGATTTTGAATGAAGTTTAAAGATTTTTGGATTCATGTCTTAAGAATAAAGCATTTGAAATGTTACATCATCTTCACTTCTCACATCTTTAACATGAGAAAGACCAGGAGCAAAAACACTAGCCCCACAACAACTATGAGGAGCCTTTTATTTTTAGCCTTCAACTTTACAACCTCTTCCTCTTTTGAATTGAGTCTTCTAACCAATCCCGGAATTATCATCGTTCAACGATGGCACATAGGTGGGTCCGCCCATTCAAAAAATCTGCAACCTTCTATCTCTATCAAAACAAGATGAAGCTTAACTTACTTTTTACTGTTTTGAACACAAAAATACATTATCAAATGCCCCCAACAAATAGAATATGGTAATTTTATTAGCAGGACCTAGCTTAAATTATAAAATACATTTTAATTTTCAAACAAATTTATTATTCAAATGCTATTCTTAAATTTCTAGTTTATTTAGTAAAAAAAGAAGCAAACAATGTAAATTAAAAAGCTGAACTTCTTACTCTGCTTCTAGCGCACACACGAAACCTCCTTCCAGGATCGTTATAGTCCAAGAAGTTATAAGAGAAACCTTTTTACCACAATCACACTCCATAAACTTTTGTTTGATCGAGAGCCGTTACTAGCAGATTTGAAGAATAATTCACTCTCTCGACTTAGTTCTGGAGAAATCTTCAGGTAGAGTTATTATGTTCTTCCCACTTTTGCAGATCCGATAATAGGCTTGGTATGGTTGTGCACGCACTTAGCGAAGAGCTTTCGTACTCTGGTTTTTTAACTCCACCTAAGAGCCAATATTGAGTCAGCAAATGAGTTCCAAATAATATATCATGTGGCAGGTGATGTGTCTTTTTCCGACGAAATTGATAAGTTCCGGCAGAGAAGGACCAAAATTGCACCAACTTATTAGTTACGGGATGTAAATTGCAAGTTAATAAAGTTACAGGACCAATATCGGATATAGCTATAAGTTATGGGACTGAATCAACAAATTTCCCGTCAATTTGGTAACTCTTGTCTTCAACTTGGCACAAATGATGTTGTAATAATCAAAGCTAAGTAAGGTTGAGTTACTATTCTAGTTGATTTGGCTAAATTTGCAGAAGATGACTATATTAGCTATTTTCATTTAATTTCTTGGGAAAAGTACAAAAAAAGTACATGTGATTTGGGTCGTTTTCAGATAGGGGCACGTGTTTCATTTTTTTACAAAGTGGGACATGTATTTCAATTCCGTTATCACAACAGGGACACGGTGTCTAATGCCGTTAGAAAATCTAACCCCAATTTCCAAAAGTCTCAAAAACATTACAAGAAAATACTGGGAGGTGCGCCTCGTCAAGGAGACCAACAAACTATCTTTCTTTTTTTGTTTCCAGCTACCATGTCGCCAAAAAATCCGTCGGAAAAGTGATATTAATAAAATTCGTTTTTTTTAAATAATCCAAATAGAGCCGAAAAATTCAAAGAGAATAATAGTTTGTTGGTCTCCTTGACGAGACGCACCTCCCAGTACTTTTCTTTTAATGTTTCGGAAACTTTTGAAAATCGGGGTTAGATTTTTAACGCCGTTAGACGCCATGCCTCTGCTGTGATAACGGAATTGAAACACATGTCCCACTGTTAAAAAATGAAACACGTGCCCCTATCTGAAAACGGCCCAAACCACAAGTACCTTTTTTGTACTTTTCCTTAATTTCTTCTTCATTTATTGATATTTTTCATAATTTAGGAAATTCAAACAATTCATTTGTTTCAGTATTTCACCAATTTCAATTGATTCAACCAATTTCAGTGTTGTCAAATACACTCTATTTTATTTTAAAAAGCAATTCATTTCTTTAGTAATGTGAATGTACCTACTATTTGTGTAAAAATTAAAACATATTGATGTGAATTTTCTCGCACTTAAAATAGATAGTAGTATAGGGTGTAAGTACGAGTATCGTCTCCACAGGGACGGACAAAAGGGAATCAAGAATTAATTAAATTCAGCGATTAAAAAAATGCAATTGTGCTAGAATTGTGGTTTGGAAAATTAACTAATGCGAATGAACGATTAAATAAAAAGATTGGTTTCTCTCTAATTAACGACGAAGGAACAGAGATTGATTCCGGGGTAACCAGATTTTTGGCAGATGCGGCTTAATTACATGAAATTAATTAATTGAGCCTAGCTAATCATTACTAAGTTATTACTGCTCTCGCGGCGTAGAGTACAATAATTTAGGGGTCCAGGCTGATCTCTCATGCGACAAGATCCTAAATTATTGCCAAAACGAACGAGCTTACGGCCCCTTAATCGCTACTAATCTCTTAGCGAACGATTAAGTGTGCGTGAATGTGTCCTAGAACAAATTAGATCTCTCTTAATTTATTCTATAAGCAATTGTAATTCTAGTGGCCATCTAGGTTACAAGAGATATCAGTTAAATTATTCATACACAAATTAAACGGCATTCATGCAATTAAACCGAAAAGAATCTAGCCATACATCATGATTAACCCCTTCATCAACCCCAAATCCCTAATTAAACTACTCACGCCTCATAATTGACGAATCAAAAGAATTGGGATGAATAGAAATAATTGTCATTAATTAAAGAATTGAACTTACAAAGAATCTCAGGGTCTTG